ACCCATACAATGTTTTTTTGGCTGTTGCTACAAATATACCCCAGCAGCGACTTAAGACTGGTTTTGTGGTCCAGGGTCACATTTGGTCTTTTTGAACTTATGGGCTGTTTATTTTATGTTTAGTTGGTAATAACTGTGGAATATCCAAGATCATAGCTGAAAATTAAACTTAAAAAGGCTCATATGACTGTAGTCGATCTAGTATGAGAAAGTACCAAGCAACCTGTAAATGAAAACGTAAAATAATTCTAGGTCAGTTCATTTTGAAGGATGCACTGAAAATCACATATTATGCATTATAAAACATAGGTTATTAAAACGCAAAGCATATCAGTTCCCTTTAAAATACGCCTCTTCTTAAAACACAAAAATGCTGCAGGCAGGTGCAGGGGATGAAGCTCTTGCTCTGTGAGAGGCCATATGGGCTGTGTGGTGCCTGGAGGTGCTCGTCTCCTCACGTGGCAACTCCACTTATCCTCAACTCTCTGCCGTGGGCCGTCAGCATTAGAGGCAGGAATGATTGTGCGCACCCTTCTGTGCTTCATAATAAACATTCATGACGTGTTTTAGCATTTATACTACCTCGCTAATGTGTAGCAATGTTGATGGTACGTCCCAGAAACAGAGGGCCTTGGGGACGATTGCTCCATTTCCCCCTTCCTTCTGTTTATTAATTTATCTGTTTTATTTGTGCCATGCCTGACCTGAGGACAGCTTAGCCATCTTTAAATGAGTTCAAGGTGCTTCGGTGAACATTTGCTTTTGAAGGACGTATTCGCATTTGACAGATTTCAGCCTCTCATAGACTTTTTCCACTCAGTTCAAATCATGTCAGGTGGTGTTTCTTCAACTATGGGCACTTTTGACTCTGTGGACTTTTAAAGTCTCTTAAAAATCACTAGTTTATTTAATTTGTTTACTAAAGCTGGCTGCACACTAGATGATTTTCAAATCTTAAAAGATTTTAAAACCATGGGAGACCACAGACATGAAGACAGTTCAACCGATTTTTAGCCTTATAATCCTCTGAATGCGCACACTAGATGATTAGACCAGACCACCAGACCACACACTTGATGATTGTCGGAACGATTTCACAGTGACATGAGATCTCACGGACACTCGCGAGATCAAAAGTGACTCGAGAAGAAAAACAAATAGAGGACAGTCAATGTTGTCAGCGGCGCGCATTCTGTTTTACAGTGAAAAACAAAGTATAGAAAAGAATA